CTATCGATTATTAAAAAAAAAGACCGTTACTGCTACCTTGGCGTGGTGGTCGGGCTTGCCTAACCCGATGAATCATTCGAACTACACTAGCTGGAACAATCGTTCCTCAATGTCAGACAGGTCGATTGAAGACCGGTAAGACTAAAAGCAGCAAACCCAATGTCCGAGGGAGAAATCGTTCTGCTGATTGTTTCCTTCAGACAAACAGAATAACAACGATGCTACCTTCTGATAAGGATGGGTTGGGTTAGTAAAGGTCGACCCTAAAAATGCACACCTGAACTTATCCCACAAATTTCCGTCTTCGGCGGAGAAGCTAACACGAAAATTACTTATAAAAGGGTCGTATATGACCGACCATAAATAATTATCTCTTGGGCACTACAGTCACGCTCTCTGGTTACTAAAGACCAACTCTAACCTAATTTTCTTTTCAGGTACCTCTAGAACAATCATTCCACAATGTGGGTAACTCGGAAGTGAAAATCACCCTCATACCTCCTCTAACAGCACACAAGATCACTGACTGATTAAATATAACTGATTGAAAATTTAATTTAATTCATTGCTATTATCATAAAACTAAACATTTCATGAAATTTTCAACATATTTACCACATATTCATACAAATCATCATCATCATCATCATCATGATGAGAATAACAATGATGTATTAAAAGGAATGCGTACATATTACTCAATGTATGCGTCTCTATGTAGTATATATGCAAGTGTGTATTGAGCAGAAATGATTTATTGATATATATATATATATAATTCTTACTATTAATGAAACATTTGATCACTATATTATCACAATGCTTAATTCACCAACACCAACACACATTGATCATTATCAGTAAAACAGCTACTAACAACTATTAATTAGATCGATAAAATTGTATTACAAGTTGTGTTTTTTTTTTCTTTCATTTTTCTGTATCATGCTGATTTACTATAATATGAAAGGGGTTCATAAAGCAAGCCGCACACAAAAGATGATGTAACTATATACACATACAAGATATTATTATTATTATTATTATTATTATTATTATTATTATTATTATTATTATTATTATTATTATTATTATTATTATTATTATTATTATTATTATAGAAACTTGGTATTTGATTCATCATACAGAGTGTACAAAAAGGAGCGTGTATATAAAAACAGGTAAAGAAGAGAGATCACGGGAAAGTGTACTTTAAAGTAAAAGTTAAACACGTGACCATCATCTTGTACTATGTATAATAAAAAGAAAAAGCAATATATACATACATACATACATACATAGTAACAAATTATGATTAAACATTTAGATGACAATTAACTTTGAATTGTTAGATTATGTAAAGTTTATAATTATGTCATTGCTCATTTATATTGATTCGTTTCTAAGTAATTAGGTCATTTTTTTTTCTCACGTTCTATTCTATTCTAGATTGATTTTATTCACGTTAATATTATATACACGTCATTCATAGTATATAAATGCACTTTCAGAATGTTAGGCAATCAGTATGAAACATTGAACTGAAGTTTTATGCGATTTGATATTTGTGTCATTATGGTATATTTGTATTCGTTCGGTGTGGCGCATTTATATATTTGGTGCCCCCCCTTGTACCAATATTTATGTGTTCAAATAAATAAATAAATAATAAACATTCGGTCTCTATATCATCCAGGTTAATAGTTTCTAGCAATACCATTAGCTTATCGGGATCTAAACAGATCTTCTGTAGGAATGAGATATTTACAGATTGTCGATTACCGAGTAAAGTGATCAATGTCAAGATATTGGTGGGTACTTTTAATTTAAAATTAAACCTATCAAAGGTTTAACGTATTACATTTGTTGTTAAATCATTCAATGAAGATATTTAAAATAACCGAATTACTTAATTTGATTATAATAATGATCCTTTTGATTGAAGGTATAAACTTCTTAACATTGAATACACTTGGTTAATAAAGGCGTAATAGGTAATGTGATGTGAGGTCATCATAGTACACGAACTGAGCTTTCAAAATTGTGTTTAATAAATGATTGAAAAGATCTATACCTCAGGTAGATGATTTTGGTAGAGTTTTGTTCTCTGAGCTAGATGGTTTGGTCGAGTGTCGAATAATTAATGATAACTTGGTACAACGTAAAGTTGACTTAAAAGGAATTGAGAGATGAAAATTTAGTTAATAGTCTAAACCAGTAAGTTTCGATGATCTTGATAGAGAACGGGCTTACACGATGTTAAAAATAATAATTCATCAAAAACAGCCTAACCGATAATTGTACTACACAATGAATTTTAATTGTACCTAAATTAATGGTTGGTCTGGTTGTCAGAAAGAGCGTCAGCCTCGTGACTTCCGAAGGAAGTCGGGTTTCATCATGAGAAGTTAGAACTCTTCTAAATAAAGACCTTCTCACTCCGTGGGCAGAGTTAAATGGTTCGAATGATTTTTTCTGGTCAGCTGAGGAGCCCCACAATGCGACGAAACGACAGTCCAGTGCATTCAGGTTTCCAACGGTGGTCTGAAATCAATCAGTTCATGATCTTAATCAAAAACTTAATAACCTCCACAACCCCTATACTGATAATTTCTTTAGTGAGTTAGTTTTGTACGGGACGGGGTCGTCCACCCCATGCCCAACCCTCCTCCTTTACCCGGGATTTGGGACAGGCAGTAGCCCCAGGAGGGATCCAGGCAAGGTCAGAATTTTCAACACAAATGTCAAAACAGTTCTACTGTATAGGGAAGAAACTTGGACAACTACGAAAGCCAGCATTCAGAAGATACATGTATTTATTAACAGCTGTTTATGCAAAATACTTCGGATTCGTTGGCCAGACACTATCCACAACAACGTACTGTGGGAGAGAACAAACCAGATTCAGGAGGAGGAAGAAATCAGGAAGAAGTGCTGGAAGTGGATAGGACACACATTGAGGAAAGCACCCAATTGCGTCAGAAGGCAAGACCTCACATGGAATCCTCAAGGCCGAAAAAGGAGGGGAAGACTGAAGAACACGTTACGTCGAGAAACGGAGATAGACATGAGAAGAATGGACAATAATTGGATAGAACTAGAAACGAAGGTCCAGAACAGAGTGATTGGGTTGGAGAATGCTGGTTGGCAGCCTATGCTTCATTGGGGGTAACAGGCGTAAGTAATTAATGAGTGAATTTTAACCTTTGAAAACAAAGAAACATGACCGAAATAATGGCTGTATCACCTAGAGAAAATTTGATTAATTTCGCTAAGGTGAAATAAATGAACTAGATTTCAGCTATTGAGAATATTAGAGAAAAAACAGAGATTTGTATTGAATTCAACTAGATGAGGAAAATATTGTGTAGTTATACTATTTTCTAAGGTACAAATAAGAATTAACTGATTAATGAGAAGGGGAAAATCAAACTTTATTTTATTCAAGGTGATTCTGTTTCAACCAACTTCAACAAATCTTTTACGAATCCTATTCATTAACTTTCAGTTGTAATAGTAGTGGAATCCAGGACACGTGTTTCATCCTAATAATTGGCTATCAGGACTCAGTAGCTAAGTGAGTGACGCAACGGCGTTTGAGGCGGACGGTACCGGGTTCGAGTCCAAGAGTGAACACCAACTCTGAGGCGCAGGTACGTTCAGCTGACGAGTCCCAAATAGGACGAAACGCGCTTTGTACTGGATTCCACTACTAGCCACTATTTATCTTTGCTTATAATGCTTATGAATTAGGGCAACATAGAGGTAATACACACATTATGCATATATGGCAATAAGAGACTGAACAATTGCAGTCCTAAACATCAATGGGAAGATTCAAGTAAACAACACGAATTGAATTAATTTAAATAAGCAAAAATATCCTCTGGTTTCTTTCAATACTTCTTATTCTTAACAAGATTAGCTTTAATGAATAGCTAAGAGTTAAAAGAGAGTCAAACTGATGCATATAATATTGCAGCTGTCGTTGAAGTTATCATCGTACATCTCGCATTCCACAACATAGATTTATCGAGAGTAACTCAACAATAAATATTTTACTAGTATAGGGGTTGTGGAGATTATTAAGTTTTCGATTGAGGTCTTGAACCAATTGATGTTAGACCATCACAATTGAAAACCTGGAAGCACTGGACGACCGTTTCGTCCTACTGTGGGACTCCTCAGCAGTGCCGGCTCAGTGGTCCAGTTGGTTAAGCGTTCGCGCGCGAGACCGAAGGCCCTGGGTTCGAATCCCGCTCGCGGGATCGTGGATGCGCACTGCTGAGGAGTCCCGCAATAGGACGAAACGGCCGTCCAGTGCTTCCAGGTTTTCAATTGTGATGGTCTAACATCAATTGGTTCAAGATCTCAATCGAAAATAAATATTTTGTTTAAAAATTCGAAATGATAACTACTAAAACTAGTTTTTTTTGGGTGGGGTGGTGATGTGAATGGAGTTTCCGGGGTGAACAAATATATTGCCCAACAAAATTTGCATCACCTAAATTTGAAACAAGAATACCACTACCGATCAATTATACATACATATAATTAAGATGCATAAATACAGATCATATATATATATATATATATATAATATTATCATATGTAAGAAAGTGGAGGGGGTGTTGTTTACGAAAATGAGAGGACAAAAATCGAATGTCCGGCGCTTTAACTGGATCTCAAACCAATGGTGCACATGGGCTCCAGTATCCTGAAACAACAAATGGCATATGAACCAATCGTTGGTCACCGGCTACCATGGGAATGCATCTCCTCACGATGCTCCACTGCCTTGTGGGTTAGATCTTTAGGTCAAAGGCTCGGGGAGTGGCCACCTTAGAAAATTACCTGCTTCGGTCTGGGCACCGGGCAGTATCACAGCCCACACACACACACACACACAAATATGGTGTGGCGCATATATATTTGGTGCTCTCTTGTACCAATATTTATATGTTGAAATAAATAATAAATGTAAGAAAGTATCAACTTACCCTTGACCAATTTTTTCTAATCTTTGATATTTTCTATTTGGATCACCAATACTAACAATCATTCGAAGTTTTTCTTGTATCATTTCATCAGTCATTTTAGATTTACATTTTTTATTTAAATTATTACGTTCTAATGTACTAGTTGTATGGTTATTATCATGATTATTATGATTAGTATTATTGTCCATAGGGTTAGTAATCATAGTATTTGATGAGATTTGTTGATGATTTATTGATTTAACTGTACATGTTGTAGTTGAAGTATTAATAGTATTATGAAAATTATGTTGACTACAAGTAAGAGAATGATTATGTATAGAAGTGATAGTAGTCATGGGCATTGTTGTTGTTGTTGTTGTTGATGATGATGTCATGGATATTGATGTGTTTGTTTGATTGATTTTTGATCGAATATTATTAATATCAGTATTCGTAGAAGAGGTAATAGTTGTACAAATAGAATTTGTCATTTTATTATGATCATCTACAATAGTAGGGATAGTAGGTGTATTATTATTATTAGTTAATAACATTGTTGTAGATTCATCATCGAATTCATAAGAATTAGATTTTTTCATTGATAAAATAGTAGGATCAGTTGATTGTAAATAAACATTTGGAAGTTGTACTGATGTTGAATTGATACTTATAGATGAATCATCGTTATAATTGATGGGTTGAATGGTTGAATTGATATCTTCACCAACTGGTTGAGTGTACTAAAACAATAAATAGTAGTAGAAATAATAAGAGAATGATATCATTAAATTATATTTACATGATAATGAATAGATATTACATAAGAGTTATTGCATAATCAACTCCGCCTGGAGCCTCTTTGGGACTAGTGCCGGTTCCCAAGCCCGGATAAAGGAGGAGGGTTGGGTATGGGGTTGAAGACCCTTTCCCGTAGAAAACTCACTCGCTAAAAAAACACTAGCCAGAAAAAAATTATTCAAACCATTTAACCTTTGTCGCGGCCTGGATAGCTCAGTGGTAACGTCTCCAACTGTGAAGCTGGGTGGCACGGGATCGAATCCGCCAGGGAGCACCAGTTCCCTCAAGATTACAGGTATACCTTGCTGACGAGTGCCAAGTAGCACGAAACCCGGGTCCAGGGTTTCCTGTCGACTACTTCCAACCACCATCTAATCTGTCCTGGGAGTTAGAAGGTCTTCATTTAGAAGAGTTATGACGCCTCATGGTGAAAGCCGAGTTCTTTTGGAAGTCACGAGGCTGATGCTCCTTCTGGCAACCAGAGCAATAATTTGTTTAGGTACATGGAATACTCATAAATGTGGGAGACCGGAAGAGTCTTCCGAAATGTTGCTGCCTATTATATAATCTAAAAGTAATATTCATTAAAAACTAATAACACTAGCGCAATACACGTATACAGAAATAATGAATATCTATTGTGATTATGAATTAAAAAAATCCATTAAAATTGTATGAAACTGGTAGATAATGATTACAGTGAATTATATGTATATATAAGCTCACTATTTCTTAACAGAAGTTGTGTTTTGTACAATCGAATGAATTGGAAATGGATCAGTTCTCGTTGCTAATGATTCAAAAAACACATAAATCGGCTGTAACTGGAAAATCTAAACTTTTCGATTACAATAACTCAGCAACTAAATATCATTTCCCCAAATGCTCTGGTATGATCGCGAGTGAGGAGAGTTAACTCTCCCTCTCAAAATCCTCTCACATGGTCACGCGTATACAACCACTACAAGGGAAGTCCTATTGAAATGATGGGAAGAAAAGTTTGAGTTCGATTGATTTACTCATTATGAGTTTTGTTCAACATTACTTCTGTTTTCTAATTCAATGTGAAAATTATTCAGTATAGTATTTGTTTCTGTTTCCTAGAGTGATCTTTTATTCTGTATAACATACGATATTCTTTTATTCCATTGACTATGAACTATACTCAGCATATGATTTGTTATAACTGTGAGTATTTTCTATATATATGATTTCATCCTAATTATTAATTAAAGTGTATGTACAATCAATATATAAATGAGTGTGCTTTCGACTAGGGTCGTCGTGTTTTAGGGGTTAATAAATCTTCGTTTTTACCAGTCTTTGTGTCCTTAATTTCGTGTCGTGGGAATTGGGGAAGTCCCTTGTTTCGAGTATAAATGATAAGCGTTTCCGACACAACAATCATTGACGACCAGATATAACAAGTAGCGTTCAATCGACAAGACATATTATCTGCTCACTGCCTCCTCGCCGTATTACTGTTGGCTATGAAATTCAGAGGACGAAAAGAGAATGTCCTTTGCTTTAACCGGGTTGTTGGATATGGAAGATCCATCTAGTTGGGTTGGGAAACCCTCATTCCAAACCAATGATACACATGGGCTCCAGTATCCTGAAAGAACAAATGGTGTATGAACCTATTGTTAGTCACCGACTACCATGTGACTGCATCTCCTGTCGTTCCTCCACTACCTTGTGGATTGGACCTGTAGGCCGAAAGGCTCCGAGTGTGTCCTCCCAAGAAAATCATTTGCTTCGGTTTGGGCACCTGAGCACTATCCTATCCCCCATAAAAATTGAATGATTTATATGGTGCATATGTATTCGGTACCCCCTCCCTTTGTACGAATATTTATTTGTTCAAAAAAAATATAAAATAACTGAATATCTTACTTCATATCATACTACTAATAGCATTATTATCACTAATGTAAACACAATGTTTTTTTTAAAAAATTAAACAGAACACGCATATTACAGTAGTGGTAGGCAAACAAGATAACAGAAAAAAATATAGGGAATTAAAGAGGTGTATTTCAATTCTCCTAAGTACGACAACAAATTACTATTATTGCTACTTTTACGACCGATTATCTTATCCCCCCTTCTCCCTCTCTCGCTCTCTTTCCTTATTGACATAGCTAACTTTGTATAGGTTTATAACAAAATTATCCATATTATACATTGCAATCTATAAATAAATAGCCTACAAGCAAATACAAATGAAATCACTTTTTTTTTTGAAAAAAAGTAGGGGGGAAGATTTAACGGTACGCACATACGAGCAATGGATAGATACAAAACACATATGAACTAATAAAACTTTAAAAATAAAACAAAGTTCTTTCCAAAAAAACTTGGTATTGATTATAGAACAGTGCTATGTATCGGTGGGGGGGGGTGGTTATTTGATAATCTCGGTGAAATTTTTTTACTTTTTAATTCTATCTACATCTATCCAGCTAATAATTATTGCCATCATCGGATACAAATAATTTAGTTATGGCTTAATGTGTGTTTTTGTTGTTGTTGTTGTGGGAGACAGGGTGCTGATGGTGGTGGCGGTCGGTAACAGATATCTTCTTATGAATAATGTTAAATAACCATATAAATAAGTACGTCAATCTAATTAATAATATACAACTTAAACAACATCAAAACATACAATTTCAATTTTCCTTCTTCACACATTAATAATATACATCTGTGAAATTGAATCTGCTGAAGTGTATTTCAACGGAAAATGAATGATACACACATAATTTAAATAAATTAATCATATTAGTAATAAGCAAAGATGGATAGTGGCTAGCAGTTGAATCTAAGACGCGCGTTTCTTCCTATTTGAGACTCATCAGCTGGATGTACCTGCATCCTAGAGTTGATGTTCACTATGGGACTCCAACTTCATACCGTTCGCACTAAACGCCATTTCCTTATCCATTTAGCTACTGAGTTGTGATAGCCACTTGCTTACGCAATGGGGTGATCTTTGCTTACAATGTTTATGAATTAAGGCAATATCGATGCAATACACAGAGTATGCACATAATAATAAGAGACTGATCAATTGCAGTTATAAACATCAATGGGAAAATTCAAGCAAAACAATATCAAGCGAATGTTAATAAAAATTTATGGCGCATTCATCTATGAATAAATGTGTTATTTCTTACACAGATGTAATCGAAACCAACATGAATAAGTAGTATAAAATGAAGATGAAAAAGTGTAGAGATAACAGGACATAGATTGAAAAGAATTCCCCTGATGCTTGATGAGTAAGGGTAAACTAAAAAAAAGTTAGGATTAAACAAACGGAAACGTAGCATCAGTCCAAGAAATTACTGTCTATTGGTCTGAATCATGTTGGTAGGTTGAAACTACAAGTTTGGGGGTCTGAAACATAACCATGATCAGTAGTTGGAGAAGTTTGATAACACGGGTCAGAATTAGTCACAGCAATACAGATTCATTTACTCTTTATCTTCTCCTATATCTTGAGTTCCAGTAATCCTGAACTCCAACCAAGTAGTCTGCATCTACCAACATAACTAATACTAGAAGTTATTGACTTCAAGCACTGATGCTACGTTTTGGTTTGGCCACCCCTAACTTTATTCCAACCATTCCCAACACCGGTTAGCATTGCACGACGTGGTAATCGGTGTTCAGGCATACGTAACACTTAACCCAACCATCTCAGTTGATGAAGATTTACAACCTCATCGACTGATTTACCAAGCTCAACATCTTGCTGATTCTATTTCATCGCACTAAAATGATATGGTAACTTGGCATAATACACATTTTTGCCAGATTCAATGTTGATTATAAGTGTTACCAAGAATGAAATAAACTCTTTTTACAGTATTTTCATCAAGTTTTAATAAACAAATAGAATAGTTTGATGATGCACATCACATAAACGTAAACAAATACACATATAAGTACACTATATGCCTAGAAAAATTAAGAATACATTTTCAAATCAACAAGAAGAACGAATAAACAAAATGAATATGTAAACTTTATCCAAGATTAAAAGAATGAAGGCATCATTATAATTGGTTCAATATCATAAATATAAATGAAGATACAATGCATAGCAAACTTATTTATATAGCGACCTCTTCATTATCTCATATTAGTTTTATAGAAAAATATAGAATTTCATATATATCGTAGTGATAAATGGTGAGTTTGAACTCTATGTGTATAACAACATTGAGATTTGATAAACATATCTAGCTATTAAGTCCAAAATAGGAAGAAACGATATGTTCTGGAGTTCACTGGTTAGCGTATTTTTTTTTAGCGAGTTAGTTGTCTACAAGATGGGGTCGCTAACCTCATGCCCAACCCTTCTCTTTTATCCGGGCTTGGGACAGGCAGTAGTGATAAACGGTGAATTTGAACTCTATGGGTATAACAACATTGAGATTTGATAAACATATCTAGGAAGAAACGATATGTTCTGGAGTTCACTACTAACCACAATTCAGTTTTATTATGTCAACAACATTCATTTTAATGTTATGTGATTATCAACAGTATTCTAACCAATAACAATTTAGTCTAATATGGTTTCAGTACTGTTTAGAAGAAGGTATTATTTACTACATAATTTAATGATAAGTTTAACTAAGCAACTAATGAAAACAACTCTGCTTTGAATGTTGTATAGAGTTCAATTACCTGTGCAACGATAAACACATCTCATTAAAATGAAATAAACTTATCATATAAAAGTTCCTAGATTCCATAAACACTATATTTGTTTGTACAACAAGAGTGTAAAAAATGGAACAATTCTGTTGTGTTAGTCACATTAAAATGTACATAAAATTGGAATATAACAAACAAATAGAGATCATGACACAATTCAAGCCAGACCATCATTAAAAACCTGGAAGCACTGATGTTCCACAATAGGATG